CTGCCTGTGCCTGTCCCCGGCCGTGGCATCCGCGCTCGTCTCATTAACTTCATTACGTGGTGCAGCGACCCGTCAGGACAGGGAGGCTGTTCTCGCTGCTGCTGGACAGAGAGCACATGCCCAGCACGTGCCCAGCACGTGGGCCGGGTGAGGGGCCAAATACCCATTTGCAGCAAAGACCCGTCCCCGGCCCCCCAGGAAGGGGTTCCCTAGTCAGACCTTTGCTCCAAACACACTTCCCCGCGGTTTGCAAAGGGACGTGATGGCACGTGCGTGGCTGGCCTGCTGCCTGGCCCTGCCGCTCACCCGCTCGGAGCTGTTTCTGTCTTTCCACCTGCGCCTGTGCCATCGACTTTGTGCACGTTGCTCGGAAGGAGCCATGAAGGGGAGGAGGCCGCGGGCCCCTCTTCCCACAGTCAGTTTATGTTCTGTCACCTGCTCTTCCCCGGCACCTTCCTCCAAGGCCAGCGGGCCGGGAAGCAAGCGCCCGCCATCTGTCGCCTCTACCCAGGGCTGGAAGACGGAGGTTTGGAAAGGAACCCAGCAGACTCCCCGATCCAACAAACCTCCACTCAGCAGAAGGGAGGGCAAGAGGAACCCGGGGGAGAAAGTCCCCCTCCAGGGTCCCTGGGAGGCGGCCTCTGTCCAGATGTCAGGGCAGCCCCCGCCCGCCTGCGGGGAGCCGCGGGGCTGAGCTGCAGGAGCCGCCAGGAATCTATTATTATTTGGTGCTGCCTTGACTCTCCCTGCTTTGGGTGGAGAAGGAGTCTGGATTCCGCAGACTCCTCCGTGAACACAAACAGGAGCGGGCGGTGCCAGGGTTGTCACTCCTCCTTCCTGGTGGAGACCGGCAGGCCAGGAGCAGGTGGTTTGCTTTACAGAGCGGCCCACGGGTGGCCAGGGAGGGGAGCGCCGTGCCCGGGGACAGATGTCTGCCCCCTGCCAACGCTGGCTGTCCCAGCCCCGGCTGAGGACTTGTGTGTGTGTGTGTGTCCCTGTGTCCCTACTTGTGTCCTGAAGACCTCCAGGCCAAAGCGAGAAGGTGGCCATGGCGCACCCGGGCTGGAAGGATGCCCGAACCTTCCCGAGGGCAGAGCCAACTAGCCCTGGGATTCCTGGTTGGGTCTGGGGGTGTAGCACGAGCCTGGGGCGGGGGGGCACTGCTAGGAGACGCCGCCCTCAAGTGCCACCAGGTCATTCCTCTGGCGACACCTTCGGCCGCCTGCTCAGGGCTGCCCTCCCTGGAGGGCGCGGCATGGAGCTTGAGGTGCGGAAGGGGCTCTCTTGCTGCTGAGCTCTCTGGTTCGCTGTGGCTCGGTGACTGACCTCTCTCCACATGATGTCTCCTGTCCCCGTCGGCACCTCTTTCTTCCTCCCCCCTGTCCCGCAGCTGCGTCTCGGCCTCCCGACATGACCACATGTCAGCATTCCTGCGCTTCTGAGGATGAACGGGCTGGGGTGCTCATGCGATGAATCTTGGGATCCACCAGGGCCTCCTGGTCCTCTCCGTGGGCCCACCTTCTTCTGTCCCTTGTCGCCAGACTGCCCCGTCGGTGCGAACAGTTCTGCACTGTGATCTGACTTCTCCATAGCGCGTCCCTCCCTTTCTCAAACGGGCTCTGTCTTCCCCTTCTGGGCTCGCAGCCCCACCTAACGTCCTTTGGAAACCCAGTGAGCGCCGTGAAAACAAGGCCCCTTTGGGGGCCGGACACGGACAGTCTCCCCAGCGCTGGACAAGGGAGGGGTTTGCTACGATTCCCAGCCTGGCCGTGGCCCAGGGGGCTGAGCCTGGCCTGGGTGCTCAGTCCCAGCGGCTCTCCTGGTCGGGGCCGCCATGAGTCTTTGCTTCTTGTGCCATCTGCCCTCTTCCCCGTCCTCTGCCCAAGGCTCGTAGCTCTTTGCTGCCACGATTCCTCTTCCTTCTCACTTCAGGTCACTGCTGACGTGGTTGCACCCCTTAGCCGTCCCCTCCCACCTGCAGTTCACTCCCGGAGAGTGGGGCTCTGGGTGGCCAGCACGTCCTTCTCTGGGCTGAGTTCTCTGCCTGGGGCGTCTCAGCGGTCACTGCCCAGCCTGTAGCCCAGGTGGGATGTTTCTGGTAGGAAGTGATGGGCCAGAAACGCAGAACTCGAACTCAGCCATGATGTGCTGAACGTTTATCTAATATCGATAGTGAATGACTCAGAAAGATAGAAGGCAAATGCCATTGGATTCTGACGGGTGAGTTTTGGAAAAGACACGGATTGTGTCCTCGGCCCCGACCCCGAAGTGAAGTCATGCCACCATTTGCCTCCCCAGTCCAGCCCAGACTCCGGAGCCTGGATCAGAGCTGGCCACTCAGGGCCTTGCAGCCGCCCTCCTCGTCCCAGCAGCATCTCTCTCTTGCGACACGGATTCAGACTCTCCCTGGGTTTGTTGCGGGCTGCCAAGTTCCTCTTTCTCTCCTGGGCTCCCTCCCACGTCCAAGTTCTACCTGGGCTTCCGAGACCAGCTCAACCTGCACTCCTGCTGCGGCGAAGTGCTACAAACCTGCTGCCTTAAACCCGCAGAAATCTCCCTCAGTTCTAGACGACAGCGTGGAAATTAGGGGTCGGCAGGGTCGGCCCCTCTTTGGAGGCTCTAAGGGCGGCTCGTCCCTCCCCCTCCAGTTCTGACGGCTCCAGGCGTCCCACGGCTTGTGCCTTCATGACTCGGTCTCATGTGGCTTTCTCCTCTGTTTCCTCTTCTGTCTCTTATAAGGACACTCGTCGATGCGTTTAGGAGTCACTCAGATAACCCAGGATACTAGCTATCTCAAGACCCCTAACTCAGTTACACCTGGAAAGCCCCCTTTTCCAAATAAAGTCATATTTATAGGTTCTGGGGATTCAGCGGTGGACATATCTTCGGGGGGAGGAGGGAGGGCAACATTTAATTCACTATAATCCCCAATTCCCTCGAAGGCGGCCCCACAGCCAGAAGTGACCTCTCCCCCCTGTGGGCTTCCGTGCCCTTACTCCGGTCCCGTAAGCATCCTTGTGCTTCTACTGTGCAGTGTTGGTCTGTTGGGACTCGTAGTAAGAGTGTGGGTTACAGAGTTAGGAGTTCTGGGTTCAGATCCCAGCTCTGCCACTTGCCAGCTGGATGGCACTGGCCAAGTCCCTGAACTCCCCTGCCAGGGCCAGGAGGCAGCGAGGGGCCACTCTCCGGGGCCTGTGACCGCAGGGCCAGCCCCCTCGCCACCCATGCTGAGCTTTCTTACATGTTGTGCCCGAGGTGCCCTTCTTGCCTTTGCCTTGGTTTTTAAATCTGCAAAGAAGGGACCCTTCTCCTGATAGAGAAACTGTCTGGATTAAGTGAGCGGCACAGCGAAACGCCTCGGCACGCCGCCTGGCACATAGCGAGGGCTCCGTAAGCGAAGCCGCCGTTTCTCTGGCCAGACAGTGAGCTCCCGAAGAGCTGGTCTTCGATTCTCATTCCCTTTTAGATTCCTAATAACTCCACGCGGTCAAGGGTGCTGAGCGAATGAATGGACCTGTGCTCAGCGGGAGGCATGCGGTAACCAGGTTAGCGGTCTATAACCAGGCAGATCACTCCAGCGGCGTCCCTGGACCAAGAGTCCTTGAGCTGATTCATTGCCTTGCTCGTGTCTGGTGCTTGGAGGGTTTAGGTGAGGTGCTTTGGATGGAAGGAGGGGAGCCCAGACCTCAGCACATTTCTGAGGTTGGTTTTCAAATTAGAACCATGAAGGAAAAGGCTCCTAAAGCGGGGTGCGCGGGCGCTAGAGGATTAGCGAGTGTCTGGAGAGCAGCAGCTCAAATGTGCAAAGTGGCTTCGGTCCACGCAGGCCGGTCCCCCGGGAACAGCTGGGCTCCCTCTCGGTTCTGCACTTGCCAGCGTCTGGGGAGGAGCTGCTTTCCTAGAGCTCGGGGGCGACCTTGCCTCTGCCTGGAGCGCCATGAAACTCCCGGCAGCAGCTGGCCCCCGTGGGTGGACCCCGAAGCATGGGTATTGGAACTGATGTTCCTCTTCGACATGGTGGTTGGGACTCATTAACTCGCACTGAGGACCAGCCCGGGAGGAGGAGTTCCCTCCTTTCCAGCAACAAGGAATGCTTCCTTGGACAGGCCACTCGCCCTGTAACTGATTTTCTCTGCTGGCACAGGACAGCCTGCTGTGTGGGACCCCGAGGCTGGTGAGAAAGGGGATGGATTCAAGAATTCCTGGATGGGAAGGCTCTTCCCTTCGTTTACCACGATTGCTAAAACACGAGGTTTAATAGCCCGAGAAGGTCTATAGTTGCGTGGAGACTGTTTATGTGTGGAATTTAATTTTATTTTTGCTTCAAGCTGACCACCAGAGCCAGACGATTGACGACTGTAACAATTCTAAATTCCCCACACCGTCCTGTTAGGTTCAGATCTGAGAGCGCGGCCCTCAAAGCTCAAAGAAGTGTGTGTTTATCTAGTAACCTCACTAACGCACTCGTTTCCGCCGGTGCCAGACACATGGATCCGGTTTGCAGTCGGCTGCCCAGTTCAAGGGCTGCCTCTCGAACCAGCCACAGGGCTTAAGGGAAGCGGTCTGGAAGGCTGTTGGGAAAGTTGGTTTTAGTAACGGCCGCATTGATGTGCCTAAGATCACTATGGAACTGGCAAGCACCGAGCCGCTTTCGGTGGGGCTGAGCGTGCAGTCACCGTTCCTGGATGAGCTGTGCTCTTGGAAGCGGGAAGCACCGAGCGGGGTTCGCGGCTTCAGGCATTTGGCTCACTGTTTCCATCCACTGAGTCATGTCCACTGTTGCACCTGCTTCTTTTGGAGCAAAACGTGCACATTATCACCATGACTCTTCAATAGCACTAAATTGTACTAATCTAGGAGATCTGTTTCTTTCCTTTCCTTTCTCTGCCATGAAATAGGATCTCCAGGAGTATGTGTGTGTGTGTGTGGGGGGATGGTGGGGGGAGGATGGGGGTTGAAAAACACCTTCTGAGTCATTGCCTGAGGAGTTTTTTATTGTGTGTTGTTTTTTTCCCAAACGATTCAAGGTAGCAAAAGCAGTACAGGGCAAGCAGACATTTAAACTGAAAACAACCAGGTGGTAAAGACTTCTGCTTTACTCTGCCACAGGCCAGGTAACTACCAGTCATTTCTGACGCTGTTATCAAGTTGGAGAGTGGGGTTGGGGAGACTTTTCCAGTAGAGGTGGTGGCACACACAAGAACTGCGGCCTGTAAGAGAGGACCTTCAGCACCAGTCATGGCCTCACAGCTACCATTTGGATCTTGTATAGATAAGCAAGAACATCCTGATGGGAATATCGAGACATGGTTCTACACTCCCCGAGTATTAGCTTGTCATGAACCGTGAAACGGTGCTCTTTTGAGCTCCCGGGTGCCCGAGGAACGAGAAAGAAGCTGCAGAGCAGTGGCAGAGGAGTCTAGGCCAGGGGTTGGCTAACTCCAGCCCGAGGACCGGCCATCTGCTTGTGGAAATGAGGTTTTACAGGCACAGCCACGCTCATTCGTTTCCGTATTGCCTGTGGCTGCGTCCATGCTACCACCGCCGAGTGGAGTAGTTGCGACACTTGTATGGCCAGTGCACCCAAAACATCATCTCTCTGGGTCTCTAAAGGAAAAGTGAGCAGACCCCTGGTCTAGACAAATAGATGAGTCAAGTGTTGGCTACAAGTCCCCGACTCATGATGCCAGAAGAAGCCTGGGTTGGCTTTGGTTGTTGTCAGGCACTGTGTGATTTTAAAACATCTTTGCAAGCCGGCACAACTGAAATTCTCATTCGCCTTATTTTGGGGCAGCAATATGGAAAGTAAAATTAGATCTGAATATAGTTTATATGTTACCTGGACTTCTAGAGCATTGCTCCATTGCTTATATATATATATATATATATACGCAAGTCAATGTCATTTCTCAAAACTTTAAAAAAGATGCAAATGTTGGTGATCTTTAAAGTACTGGTATTATGCTCCTGTCTCTGTGCAAAATTCTACAATGCTCAAAATCAAGTGCTGGAGCTATAATTCCAGTCCTTCAGGTAAAACTCTTTAGTCTAATGGTTTTCCCCATCTTTGAACCAGTTTTAAGAGTCACCAGAAGTCTGTAGGTTAAGACACCAGACACATTTCCCAGCCGAGCCTTCCAGTGCCAACATTCAGTGAAACATGCCATAAAATTACGACTGTTTTATTCGAGTTAACAGGGCACTTTCCACAATGGCAGGAGTTCAACAGCCAGGCACGGGCTCTAGGTTATTATGCACATGCTGGCGATAGATCTGAATCTTGCCTTGGTGGCCAGGTTTGGTTGGTCTGGTCAGGCGTGCAGGGTCTGACCAAGAACACGATCAAAGACCTGCAGCCATGAAAGCTGGTCTCCATAGGGCTGCGTTAACCAAGCCGCACAAAGGCAAGACAAGTGGCTGGAACCTCGCTGTCCTGACGTGTCAGAGGTGACCTGAAGGTTTTGAAATGTCCTGAAGGATAGGGCTTCTTATTTGATGCTGGTTGCAATGAAGGCTAACTCTTTTCTCCTCGTTTAAATGTTAGGTAGATTCATAAGTAACTGATGATGATGGACGCTGCCTGTGTATGTGTTCTTAGTTGAAACAGAAAAGCCCTCCAGGGGACAGGAGCCCTGGCCTTCCTCTCTAGACTCAGATGGACCCCCTGGCTGTGTGCCTTGTCTAGGATTTAAATGGCTGGGACCCTGTTCTGTAACTGTTTCTTTTACCTGGGCGAATTTATAAAGCTTGAAATAATGACGTAGGGGAGAAACGCTGTGTTAGTGCAAATATCACCAGGAATTGAAATATGATTTTTTTTGAGACGTGTTAAGAGTTACAACATACAAACCCACATGATAAATTATAACAGCTAAGCAAATGAAGGCATAGAATATGAAGTTTTTTCTTCCATTTCAATTCAAGTGTAATAGGATCCTAATAGCTGAAGGAATCGTCACCGTTCTGTATTGTTATTTAAAAAACTGGTTCTAGTTCTTAGGTTTTTTTCCCTTGCTTAAGAAGCTGGCAAGGTCTTTAGTTTTGGTCTGTCCCATCTCAGAATGCCACTTGTAAATTCGAACTTAAAGGCACCCTTCATGTTTAAAGGAGGCGCATAGTAGGGCTGGTTTTCAGAAAAGATGACTCCTCGTTCTTATTTAGGAACAGAAAGGTGAGACCTTTATGGGGCGTCTAAGAAAAGATTTCAAAATGTGATTGCTCTCAAACCTGGGTTCCAGGAGTCAGGCTGCGGGGGAAAGTGTCTCTTTAAAGCAAAGCAGCCGGCACTCCCAGACGCTGGGAACAGCGGCCAGATCACGGGCACGTTTCTGCGTGGCGGTTCTGCTCGGGCAGCCAGGCTCTCATCAAGGTCCAGGCGGTCAGAGGCTGGCTAGGGAGAGGCCCCGGGGGTGGGGGGCACTTCAAGTTACATTCCATGCGAACATTAGGCTGTCAGGGCGCAGGGAGGCCCGAGTGTCCACAGGAGGGAGGTGGGCAGAGACCTGGAACGCACGCGAGCACATGTCAGTGATAACTAGCTGCCGACACAAATGGAACATGTGCAGCTTTTTAAGAAGGTGGGATCGAGTAACAGGCCCACGGCCGTTGCTCTCGGCACTTCAGACCTCTTTCTTCTCTCCACTTTGGCTCTTTGTTGAGTCACTTCCATCAGGCAACGTGCCACAGGATAAACCGTTTGAATCTGGTTGTATTTTATCCAACGTCTGTTTCCCTGCGGAGATAGTAATCACACAGAAATCGTTCGAGCTCTTAGAGAAGTCTAAGTCTTAGTAATTTCTCCTCTATCTGGGCCACATTTTATTCCCCGTTTTATACTAGGTGGTCACCCTCTAAACCAGTGGTTCTCAACCTTGGCTGCACATTAGAATCACCTGGGAATCTTTTTAAAATCCTGATTTCTGGGCCCCATCCTCCGGAAATTCTGTCTCTTTGTTCTGGGGTGGGGCCACAACATTAGTAACAAAGAAACAGAATTTCCAGAGGATGAGGCCCAGAAATCAGGATTTTAAAAAGATTCCCAGGTGATTCTAATGTGCAGCCAAGGTTGAGAACCCCTGCTCTAAACAGAAGAGGAAAACGCCAGCGGAGGCAAGGACCTGGGCACTGCATGCCCCTCGCTATGTGGTCAGCGCTGCCCAGGGGAGAGGGCAGTCTCCCTGCCCGCAGGGGCTGCCACGCTGGGCACGGAGCCCAGCCCGGGTTGGCCGGGAGGTTGACACATTGCATTCCCTCATCTCCAGAGCTTTCTCCCCGGAGCCCTGTCTCCTTTTATGTTGAGCCTAACGCACATGACTACACAGAAAGGCAGCCTTTCAGAGTGGCTTCTAAAGGCCACCGATCCTATGCACGGGGCTTTGTGAAATGAAAAAGAGTTGAAAATAAGTGAGCTTCATTTCCTACCAAACCTCTAACCATACACGTCACCGCCCTAATGCACACCTTGCCACGAACGCTAGTTCTTAATTCTTGCACTGAACGCTCTCAGCCGATCAGATGGCTCACGTGGGAAACAGAGCACAGAATTCACGGGGCCACGTTTTCTCAGTCGTGCGGACGAGGCGTTAATGGTTTGTGCTTCAAAGAGTCGGTCCTAACAGAATGGCGGAGGAACCTGTGAGGACACCACGACTCCTGTCTAGGAACCTACAGGTCACCCTAAACCAGTGATGGCGAACCTATGACACGCGTGTCAGAGGTGACACGCAAACTCATTTTTTTGGTTGATTTTTCTTTGTTAAATGGCATTTAAATATACAAAATAAATATCAAAAATATAAATCTTTTACTATGGTTGCAAAGATCAAAAAATTTCTATATGTGACACGGCACCAGAGTTAATGCTGACACGCTGAGCTCAAAAGGTTCGCCATCACTGCCCTAAATCTTGTAAAGCTGGAGACTGTTGAGGATGGAGGGGAGGACACAGTGGAGTGTTTCCTTTGTTCTGGACATTGCTTCTGTGGTCTGCATGACTAAAGCGAGTGATTCTCAGTGGAAGTAGGGAACTGCCTGGAAAGATGAGGCATGTTAAAGGGACCAGGATGAATGAGGGAAGGAGGGGAAGAAGCTACTTGTGTTCAGGTGTCTGGGGAGAGCGTTATTCTTGGCCTCATAGTGCACAGGCCGCCTTCCCCAGGGACAATGTTCCTTAGCAGCCTGGCCTCTGCCTTTCACTGTCCCTCAAAGGCCCTCTGAGCACCAGGGCGGCTGCTAGGAGCCCTTCCATGTTCCTCTCCTCCCCTTTTCCAATTTAAGGAAACTCACAGAGGAAATCTGCCATATCACCCAAATCAAGAGAACAGGGTCAGTTCTCTTGTAGCCCGTGTTCTGTGCAAACCTGACATTCAAATAGATGAGTATTAGCACAGTCAAAACATCACCTCTGGTATTATCATTAAGTGCTTATGTTTTGAAAATATGTTTTCTATGAATTTAACACCCAAAATAATACCCGCAGCTATTAATTTATGAGAATAACATTTTCTCTTATAAATGAAAGAATATAGTTTTACCAGGAATATTCCCCAAATCAATGTAAGACTGTGGCAGATGTTCCTTCTCTCGGTTTCTTGTGACCAACAACACACCCAGGAATGACAGAAAACACCTGTAAGAATAGCATGAATACAGAATGCTGAGACAACGCATGGTATTAAATAACAGACCCGTATCCCACATGGTGGCATAAATTCCACTGGTTTTGCTCTTCCTGTTTCCCATGGTAAGCTGCCTAAAACTTAATTGCTGCAGCCAATAATATTTGTCCTCAGAACCAAGCCTTGGAGAGCTTCCAAGACATCTCCGCCCCAGCTTTTTACCATCTGGAGGCTAATTCAGGCTCTAAACCCTCTGGGTAGACATTAAGTCTCATTTTCTATCCATGCATGCCCAGACCCATTACTGGCATGCAAAACGAGCACAAAAAAATAATTTATTCTTTAATTTTCTAAGAAATTTAGTTGTCCTTGGCCATAAGAATAGTCACAGTTTCCAGATCTCAGAAGTTTAGCCTTGCCCAAATATCTTATGAAATTGGATTTTCAAGATAGATGGTTTTCTATGCTGAGAGTAGTCTGGGCTCCAGTTTGCATTACAACGGCCATGCAGAATACCAGATAAAATGTCCATACTACCCAAAGCAACCTATAGATTCAATGCACTCCCCATTAAAATACCAACGGCATATTTCACAGACCTAGAACGAACTCTCCAAAAATTCATCTGGAATAATAATAAATAAAAAAAAGACCCCAAATAGCTGCAGCAATCCTGAGAGAGAAAACAACAAAGTACGAGGGATCTCAATACTAGATATCAAGCTGTATTACAAAGGTACTGGCACAAGAACAGACATATAGACCAATGGAATAGAATAGAGAACCCAGAAATCGACCCAAACCACTATGCTCAATTAATATTTGACAAAGGAGGCAAGAGCATACAATGGAGTCAAGACAATCCCTTCAATAAATGGTGTTGGGAAAATTGGACAGATACAAATGAAACTAGACCACCAACTTACACCATACTCAAAAATGGATAAAGGGCCCTGACCGGTTTGGCTCAGTGGATAGAGCGTCAGCCTGTGGCCTGAAGGGTCCTAGATTCGATTCCGGTCAAGGGCATGTACCTTGGTTGCGGGCACATCCCCAGTTGGGTGTGTGCAGGAGGCAGCTGATCAATGTTTCTCTCTCATTGATGTTTCTAACTCTCTATCCCTCTCCCTTCCTCTGTAAAAAATCAAAATATATTTAAAAAAATAGATAAAGGACTTAAACATAAGACGGGAAACCATAAAAATCTTAGAGGAATCCACAGGCAGCAAAATCTCAGACATATGCCGAAGCAATATCTTCACCAATACAGCTCCTAAGGCAATGGAAACTAAAGAGAAAATAAACAAATGGACTACATCAAAACAAAAGGCTTCTGCACAGCAAAAGAAACCAACAAAACAACAAGAAAGCTGACTGCATGGGAGAACGTATTTGCCAAAGTTATCTCTGATAAGGGTTTAATCTCCAGCATTTACAGGGAACTCATACAACTTAACAAAAGGAAGATAACCCAATCCAAAAATGGGCAACGGACCTATGTAGATACTTTTCGAAAGACAACATACAGAAGGCCAAGAGACATATGAAAACATGCTCAAAGTCACTAATCATCCGAGAGATGCAAATCAAAACGACAATGAGGTACCATCTCACACCTGTCAGAATGGCTATCATCAACAAATGACAAATGCTGGTGAGGATGCGGAGAAAACGGGACCCTTTTGCACTGCTGGTGAGCTTGCAGACTGGTGCAGCCACTGTGGAGAACAGTATGGAGTTTCCTCAAAACTAAAAATGGAACACCCATTTGATCCAGTGATCCCACTTCTAGGAATATATCCCAAGAAACTAGAAGCACCAATCAGAAAGGATATATGCACCCCTATGTTCATAGCAGCGCAATTTACAATAGTTAAGATTTAGAAACAGCCTAAGTGCCCATCAGCAGATGAGTGGATTAAAAAACTGTGATACATCTACACAATGGAATACTATGCTGCTATAAAAAGGAAGGAACTCCTACCATTTGCAACAGCATAGATGGACCTGGAAAGCGTTATGCTAAGCGAAATAAATCAGTCAGAGAAAGATAAATATCACATGATCTCACTCATTCGTGGAATATAATAACAAACTGACGAACAAAAATAGATCCAGAGACAGCGAAGCATCAATCAGACTGTCAAACCTCAGAGGGAAGGTAGGGGTGAGGGGAAGAGATCACCCAAAGGACTGGTATGCATGCATATAAGCGTAACCAATGGACACAGACACCAGGGGGGTGAGGGCATGTGGGGAGGGGGCAAGGACACATATGTAATACCTTAATAAAGAAAGAATCATTAAGCATCATTGGATTGCCATTGGAACCAACGGATGATCCTATATGTCGGTGATCCTCCGTCAAAGTCCTGTTCTCTGCGAGGATGTTGGCAATGATGCCCAGCAATGAAGGGTTAAAGCTGGGCACCCAGACCCAGGAAAGGGATGTCACCAATCTGATGGCATTAGGTCCAAAGCTAGATCTGCCCATCACGGTCTTTTATTCTAGGTGATCCTAGAGGTGTCCACAGTTCCCTGATTGAGATCTAACCTAGGCGTCCCCAAGGTTGAGACAGGTCTGCTACAGTATGAAAAGGCATGGAGTAGCTACAAGGAGCCAGCGGATTTAACTTGACTTTAGCTGGAACTGAAAGTCCCCAATGTTTCAGAACCCTCGGACAGATACCTCAATCACAAAGCCAAAAGTCACTGAGCCTTGTGTAGGGTGTTCAATTGAAGAATGTTTCCTGTAGGAGCTCAGGAAACGGTTGTCTCTTCTATAATCTTCCAGTTTTCTATGCCTCACGTACAATGCCAACAATCCTACATAAAAGTAATAGCATTTCATATACCTTACCTCAGACATTTACTCACCCAAAAAAATATATAAACATGGCGAGAAAAGCTGCACCAAGGAATTCCTTATAAAATATGATGCCTATAACAGGAATAGAAGACAACATTTTAGGATAAGAATATTTACAATAGCCACACATTGTTTTTCAAATTATGTCAATAGAGGAGGCCCCCTTTAGCCTCGGTTTCGCTTTTGTGGTTTCTGTTACCCAGGGTCAAAAATATTAAGTGAAAAATTCCAGAAGTAAACAATTCCTAAGTTTTAAGTTGCAGGCTGTCCTGAGTTGCACGACGAAATCCCACACCCCCGGGACATGAGGCCTCCCTCTGTCCAGCATATCCATGCTGTATATACTGAGTCAGCAGCCGTCTTGGTTGTCAGGTTGACTATGTGCCAGTGTAGAGCCTGGGTTCAAGTCACCCTTAATAATGGCCCCAAAGCACAAGAGTAAGTGATGCTGGCAATTTGAACATGCCAAAGAGAACCCAGAAAATGTATTAATTACTTTTAAAAATTACCCACTGGCAGTCACATTGCTTGCCATGAAGTAAAAAAGATGAGCCAATTAGGAAACAGATAATCCCCTACCTACCTCCAAAATACAGACATTTTGCAATAGGAAATGAAATCTCAATATGACACGGTGGTGAATTTATCCAATAAGCCAAAGAACGAGGGGAAATCAGTACCAAATGTAGGAATGATATACCTGGATCTACTGTATTTGGGTCGGAACCAAGTTTAAATGTCATATTTTTAAAAAAGCAGTATTGTGTCTGACACAATAAAAAACTGTCCATAAAAATAAAAGAATGCAATAGTAGAAAAACAGAGGCCAGAACAACAAAAGCAGTAGTATCTGTTCTCATCTGCCTGGCCTTCCTGGAACACTGGGTTCTGTTTTGGGCCCCACTCGCTGATCCAGGTGGTGAAGGCCAGAGACGGGCGCGTGAATGGACCTGGGGTGTTTGGCCCAAAGACAAGACACAAGAGGACCCTTCCACTGCTCTGATCACCAGCAGGGCTGGCAAGGAGAAGACTCCAGAAAGCAGAATTAAGGTGAGTGTCTTGAATTCACAGGGAGGCTAGTTTCTGTCCAATATAAGGAAACACTTTCTAATAATTAGAGCTCTCGAAATAATTAGAGTAATTTAAAACGGGACTGAGCTGTCTCGGGAGGTGGATAGCCCTGGGGAGCACTCGCACACAGTAGAAGAGCATGTCCTAGAGGGGTTAAGGAGGAAACTCAGACACTGTGTGAGGCTGGGAGGACATGGGTTGTGCAGATCCTAATAACCGAAGGATTCCTTGCTTTTCTCATATGCGTGTTGTGGGGGTAGAACACCTAAGTACAGAAAGCCAAAACTCACCTGCAATAATGGCACTGGTTGTAAAGAAAATATGGTTAATGGGCACCACCGTTGCTGTACTGTAGAGATTCGTGGCTTGATTCAGGAACCTAGAGCAGAAGGCACTTCCTGAAGCTCTGGCCTTAAGAGATGCTCAGCAATAAGTTAACAATAACATCAAGAAATGCATGTTCTTCAGCTACAACTACAAAGGGAAAGGAAGTGCAGTAGAAGGGCATTTCCAATCAGCAGTCATAGCTTATATGCATCTGATGTATGAGATCAGATGTCAGGTTTTATGGTCTGTTTAAACCAACAACAGTAACAATGAAAAGCAATTAATCATATTCTGAGGCCACAGAAGTTTGAGTTGGAAGCAATTCAAGCTGCTGGACCGGTATCACACTGCGGCTGATTCATTACGATAGACCCCAGAATCTGTTAAATATCATATCGAGGGAATAGTAGAGCTATGCATTGACATGCCACGTGCCAAGAAAGAAGATGGAGAAGTAAAAGGAATGTTTAATGTTTCAAAAACAATGCTTGGGGCTCCAGCTGCAGAGCACATGTGGGAACTCAGCTTCTCACGTTGGCGACCAACCGAATTCAGGTTCCCGCACTGTGCTGTGAGGCCCCGTCCGGGACTAGAACAGTGATGGCGAACCTTTTGAGCTCGGCATGTCAGCATTTTGAAAAACCCTAACTTAACTCTGGTGCCCTGTCACATATAGAAATTTTTTGATCTTTGCAACCATAGTAAAACAAAGACATATTTTTGATATTTATTTTATATACTTAAATGCCATTTAACAAAAATCAACCAAAAAAATGAGTTTGCGTGTCACCTCTGACACGCGTGTCATAGGTTCGCCATCACTGGACTAGAACCTTCTCTAGAGCAGTGCATTGCACTGACATCACCTGGGTGCTTTCAAAAAGCATGAATGCTTAGGTCCTATTCTTGAGCAATTGGAAAAAAAAAAATTTTTGTGGGCAAAGCCCAGGTGTGCCTGTGTGTATACATATACGCACGTATATATGTGTAATTAAGTCTCCTCGGGTAATTTTAATGGGCAGCCAGGGCTGAAAGCCACAGTTCTACAGTTCTAGTGTGTTCACCCAGCTCCAATGTGAAAGATGTAGAGACGGAAACAAGGGTGATAAGAATGCAGTTTATCTTTGACTGTCTCTACCTTTTACATTCAAAAAGCATAGTTCAAAGATAATGATGCTAATCGTTACATTCTAAAAGGTAGTAGAGCAGCCCTGATTAATTCAGAAGAAGGGAAGAGACAAAACAGCAAGACTCAAGTATTAGAAACACACTCAGTCTTATAAGGAAATGACTAATGAAACAGTGACAAAACATTGGTTTCTCCGGTAATTGTCCACACTCCTAGTTACAGGGCCTATAGCCAACCCATGACAATGAGACTGGACTTCTAGGACTAAGAAGGGAACCAATCTCTTCCTGAGTTTGGGCTCTGACTTCCTTGCTGGCACTGGGATGGTGGCTCTGCATAGCACTTAGGGGGTAAACAGAAAACTTTCTGGTTGACTCGAGAGTCTCGCAGGCAAAGGCATCCTCCCCATGTGACATGGAGGGGAAGCCGTTGGAGCAGAGGGGTTGGGGGGAGGCGGGGAGAGCAGAAATTAAAAATGTTCCATGTCACCACTATTAGGCCCCAGGAGAAACATAAAACAATCATTCCACAGTCCCTTGGGTACGAAGCAAATTCTGGCCAAAGATACAAAGTTCTGAGGAAAGGATTTCCCTCCCGGCCAAACGTCTGGTTTTGTCCATCTCTGGGCAATTAATGAGCATGAGCTAAGAAGTGAAGGTGAAAGGTTCATGTATTTCCTATACTTAGAAAAGAAATCTGGATGTGGACCTGCCCCTTTGATTTATTGCTAATGACAACCTGTGTACGATGGATATTAATTACAAGCAGAAGAGCATCAGGAAAGTATCAGCGTGCACTTAGCTGGATTATGGCTGCACTTTAGAGCTCACAAGATGTGAAGGCAATGCTCAGTTAAAACTCCTTATTGGATGTGAAAGCTATTGCAAGGCATGTTAGCTGAGGATAAGCTGTAGACCCTTCACCCTTCTAAGTCAGTTGCATCTAATTTTAACGATCATCTGAAGCCAAGAAAGACGGATGCTCAGAGAAGCACAGGAATGCTGAAAGACTGGTGAGGACAGGGACGCTAACTTACTTGACTTGGAAAACACAAGATGCTATCATGATGATCAACATTATATAGAAGATGGGATACGTTAGCTGCATTTTATCCGTCACAGAAAAAGCGATCATGCCTGAGACAGCTTTCACTGAAATAACAGTCAATGAGGCTGAAAAACAAAACAAAGAACACACATAAAATACATACCTGAGACAGAATGACAAATATCTTCAGTGTACATGGCGCAGTGGTAAATACCCCCATGATGCTTTAAGCATGAAGATTCTAGCTAAGCAGTAGCCCTGGTGTTGAAGCTGGGCTGGACTTCAGATTGGCTTCTATCAGCTAAAGATCTGCTGTGTGACTGTGCTTTTTATCTTTGGAGCAAGATGCTTATTTTCCAGCCGTAACTGTTGAAAGGACGCTATGGAGGTTATAATTACTAAGAGGTGGGAAAGGAGAAAACAACGAAGGGAGGAGATAAGAAAAGTCGGATTGTCCACGTAACGTTAATGGGAAAATAACTATGAAGCTATACTGAAAAAAATGTAAAGCCAAATAGATGAGAGGACTGAAAACTGAAAAGCAACTCACTCTGTGAGTTTACTAAGAGTTGTACTTGGTCTGTGCGTGAGCCCTTTGCTAATAAATGCCTACAAGTTTCATTAAACTATCTTTTGAAGATGACACTAACAGGAAGCAGGACTTGAGTATTCATTTCTCAGAGTCAACCATAAATCTAAGATTTACACAAGCATGTCTACACGCTTTCTATGCTACAGAGGAACCTGTCCCCTATGGGGACACGTCTTTCTTAGTTTCCAAGTAGCAATGGAGAAAAAGTGACTTGACAAGGCTCTATCAACGTGAAAGCAACGACGCATTTTCTGGAAACATCATGTTTCTGTAGGAAGAAGACAGGGCTTCCCTTTTGCCCAGGTCTCTTGAAATTATGTTACCTATGATTCCATAAATTAGCTGAAACCTACAGAAAAATAAAAAAGTTTTACATGAAATCAAATATAATTATAAGTCAAAGGCAATGGGAAGGAGAAATACTGTTTTTGTTGCTGTTGATATCTGGTCATAATATATCTGAACTTTACTCCTTTTAGCTTCTAAAAAGAATATATATATGATGTGTTTAAATAGCAGGTGAAGTGTTCCAACTAGGAAAAGCCTTCCAGAATCTCCTTTTCCAAAAACTGAAAGTATACTTTAACTTGAAGGGTACTAGGGCACACTTCCAAATTAGGCATTTTCTTTCTGTTATAAGTCACACTTAACAGAGGAGACCGGTAATAAATTCTAAAAGCAAACCCCCAATCCGAACAAAGAGGCCCTTACAACTGAGCATCTCTTCGTTTTAAAATGTCTTTTGACCTGACCTTCTACATATTTTCTACAGAGTACGACAACACTCACATCTCAGCGAATCTAGGGAATGTCAAGTATCTCTCGAGATGTGTGTTACTCGATGGTTTAAGTTTGTAAAGTTTGCTCTTGAGGGACCTTGATTTCTCCTCAACACGTTGCTTGTAATCAGAGCACAATGTGATTATGGTCCTGTAGCGGGAACAGCTTGGATTCCCAAAGGGATCACTGATGGAGAAACAGCTGAACACACTGTTCCATGAGCCGCAGAACCTCGGACTGCCAACGCCCTTAAAGGTCACCGACTTTTAAAAAATCATCGAATTCACCCACCACCTGGTGTTAAATTATCCTTAAACACAAGATACAAACAAAACTGAAATTCTTTACTGAACAGCTAAACCAACTATGAGCTGCTCGAGTTGATCATTGCATTTTCAAAGCATGCACAATCACCAACTGATTAATCACGATTTACTATAACTCTGAAAGTTATTTCTAGACTGGTATCCAGTTCTTCTAAGATTTTTTTTTTTTTGGTGGAGGGAGGGTGGTTGATGAGGACAGATGGAAATACAAAATTGTAATGCATTCTCGTTCTAATATTGTATATATAAAAATAGAGAGTACTTGTGTATACACAGAAAAAAGATTAGAAGAACCTACATACTCTAAGTAGTGGGATTATAAATAAATTTTAAACTAATTTTTAAAAACGATACAAATATACATGTTCATTAAAGAAAATTTGGAAAATGCAGAAAAGCTTGAAAAGAAAAATGAAAATCACTTGTAACCTCAACACTCAACTCCAAGTCATTCTTAACATGTGGGAAATATTTTTGTAGTTATTTTTCTATCTTTACATTTTAAAATTATTTCTAAGAAAAAAAATCCTAAAGTTATTAGAGAGCAAATAAAATGACCAAATAGTAAAAATTGCTATATATATATATATATATATACACACACACACATATATATAAATATACATATGTATATCTTTTTAAAATATATTTTATTGATTTTTTACAGAGGAAGGGAGAGGGATAGAGAGTTAGAAACATCGATCAGCTGCCTCCTGCACACCTCCTACTGGGGATGTGCCCTCAACCAAGGTACATGCCCTTGACCAGAATCGAACCTGGGACCTTTCAGTCCCCAGGCCAACACTCTATCCACTGAGCCAAACCGGTTAGGGCTAAATAGATTTTTTAAAGAATTAAATATATATCAATTTTTGTAATAGACATACAAAGTCTAGTTTGCATAATTGAGACACAGTTTCTTTCTACAAATCAGAGTTGAAAAGTAGAAACAATGAGAAAGGAACAGAATGCTCAAATATTTTCCTTGAAATCTTTTTGACTTAGCATGGCTAGATTAGAAAATTAGGAAACAAAATATATCCTTACCTAGAAGTGCCACCAGGGTTAGTAGAATCACAATGTGCTTCATTCCTTTTCTTTTATAGAAATATAGGAGAATGCAGAAAATCAATATTTCTAAAATCTAGAAATAAAACAAAAAGTATAAAGTATAAATTATTCTATACAAAGTCTTCAGAATGTCGCAATTCTTTGACGTTGCAATTAATGAGAGTTGGTGAGGTGACTACAGTCCCTAAGGACAATTATAAATATTGGAGAACAATACTTAAAGCCTCAGCTGTCCAGGCCCAGAGCTCTAGCATCACCTACATGCCAGTGGTGCCCAGATCTAGATCTCCAGTCCCGACCTCCCTACAACTCCAGTCTCATTTATCCAACTCTCTACTAGACGTCTCCACGTGCACGTTTAATAGCCATATCCCACGAGTACGGGCAACACTTAACCCTGGATTGCCTGCCTTCCCTACCTGTTCTTCCTGGGGTCTTCACCCCCTCAGCAGGTGACAACCCCACACTGCTCCCTCCGCCTCACTCCCTTTCACCCTCTGACCTCTGCAACGGCTTCTCAGTCACCTCTGACTTTACTCTTGCCCCTCTACAATCCAGCCATTCAGCAGCCAGAGGAATTATTTAAAAACACAATCTGGGTGATATTTTATTCCTAGAGCATACATGTGATATACATATAAGGTATTTATGGTGATATGACAAGCATTTGTGTGGCCCTAAACTAAGGAACAGAACCGACCAATACCTTTGAAGTCTGTTGCATGCCACTCCCCACTTGCACTCCTCTCTCCTGTGACCTCCCCAGGAACCACTGTACTGAACTTTGTGTTTACCATTCACTTGCACTCCTCTCTCCTGTGACCTCCCCAGGAACCACTGTACTGAACTTTGTGTTTACCACGCACTTTCTTGATAGTTTATCACATTTCTATGTATCCCTAAATGACACCCTGCTTATTTTTGCATCTGTTTGGACTTTATACAAGGGGGGTCATACTGCTTTCATTTGCTTTTTTTCACTGTGCATTATGTTTATGAGATTCATCCAGAATGATACATGTAGTAAAAATATGTTAGATCCAGTAATTCCTATGGTTTCCTATCACATTAAGAATAGAATCCAGCCTGGCTGGCATGGCTCAGTGGCTGCGCGTTGATCTAACCAGGAGGTCGCGGTTCAATTCCCAGTCAGGGCACATGTCCAGGTTATGGGCTTGATCCCCAGTGGGGGTCGTGAAGGAGGCAGCCAATTGATGATACTCTCTCATAATTGATGTTTCTCTCTCTCTCTCCCCCTTCCTCTCTGACTCTCTGAAATACACACACACCCTCCTTCCTGGATATAAAAGCCCCAGCCAACTTCTCTCACCTTATCTTGTACAACTCACTCTGGGGATGGTCCAACCTGCGCCAGCCACAAATGGCCTTTTTTCCTCCCTAGTGTTGGCAGTCCTCAGATTGCTCCTGCCTTTGGGCCTTTGCACTAACTGTGCTGCCTGGAGGGGTCTTTCCCTGATCTTTGCACAATGGCCCCTTCTAGTCACTCAGCTCTCAGCTTAACTGTCACCTCCTCTGAGAGGTCTTCCCTGACTACTTTAATCTAACAGAGCCCCCCAGTCATACTATCATACCCCCGACTTCAGGTGGCCACTGTGAGCATTTTATCATCATCTGTCATACTTCCTGTTCATGCACTTAGGTGTCTCCTGTCTGTCTCCCCACTGGACATCAGCTCTATGAGGACAGGGTCCTTATCCGTATCGGCTGTTTGCCACCCTGTCCCCAGTATTTAGGGAATTAATAAGAAAATTACACCTCAAATTTATGATGAACAACATGCCAAAAAACAGACCTAACTCTAATAAACTGAAGGTTCAATAAATATTGACTAAATGTCTAAATTTTCCTATCCCCAAGAAAACTCTAATGTAAGTCTGAGTTCTCAATTTTATTTTTTTATCATTTTTTTTCTTTTTTGAGGTCCTTAAGATAATCTGAAGCAACTCCTTTTTTTCCCCCCAAAGAGATGATATCCATGGACTGAAATGATAAATATGAATGTTGCCCGAACCGGTTTGGCTCAGTGGATAGAGCGTCGGTCTATGGACTGAAGGGTCCCAGGTTCAATTCTGATCAAGGGCATGTACCTTGGTTGTGGGCACATCCCTAGTAGAGGGTGTGCAGGAGGCAGCTGATGGATGTTTCTCTCTCATCGATGTTTCTAACTCTTAATCCCTCTCCCTTCCTCTCTGTAAAAAATCAATAAAATATATTTAAAAAAATACGAATGTTTACTTTTCTGACATCAGACAAGTAAAAATACCAACAATAGTTGTTGTTTTTTTTCTTTTTTTTTTTTTTTGCATTTGCCATAATTTACTCAGCTCTTTATTTTATTTATTTATTTATTTATTTATTTTTTAATTTATTGCTTAAAGTATTACAAAGGGTATTACATATGTGTCCATTTTATCCCCCCGCCCTAGACAGTCCCCTAGCATCCCCTATCCCCCAATGTCTTATATCCACTGGTTATGCTAATTACTAGAATTAGGCACTTCACTGCTTTTAGGACTGCATTTTACTTATGGAGCTCTAAGTCAACAATCTCTCCTTTTCCATTCAAGGTTTTGCCTGTTGGTTTGTTTTCCCCTTTAATCCTCTGTGGGCACGGAAAGCATCAAGACCAAACCTTCTTCATTTAAAAACCCTTTCATCTACAATGGAAACTTAGGTCATCCCTTAGTCTTCTTTTCCTGGTAAATTAAACCAATTATTTTAACTCTTCCTTATAAGACTTATTTGCTAGGCCTTTGATTCAACCAAGCAGTGCTACAAAAGCGACTGAACAACTGTCTCTTTGCCTTCCCGAAGGCGGCCATCAAAACACTGGGTGTCCCAGCCTGTGTACGACTCCTCAACTGTTCACAGAAATATCGCTCTTGGCTTGCTCTCTGCTCAACCACAGGCTTCCATTTCTCACCTGATACAGGGACCACAGTTCCCCCTGACGGAGAGAAGAAAGCTCTTCTGTACAACACAGAGCATGTTAGCTAAATGGATGAGCAGGCCGATTACTAACTTTTTGGCGGGGTAGGGGGTGGGGGATGAGGGTAGTGATCAGTTCTCAAAGTCATGTATGACTTTTTGTAAATCCACTTCTGAGGTTTCCGGTAAATAATACACGAGTTCCTATTAATTCATAGAATGGCTGCCGTTGCCCTGGGTTTTGTCTTGTGTTACGACGTCATGGCGCTCCCAGGAATAAAATATTTAAACAGCATGAATGAATGTTAATTTTTTTCTAGCAACATTGCCCCCCTGTCTGTGAAAATAGCAATATTAAAGCAGCTGTGATTCCTGCAGGTTGCTGCAACCCACAAAGAGGCTGCTTTGCTGCTATCTGTGAGGTCAGAAATAATAACAGCGAGTTCTGCATGCTCACCATATGCTTTACTTGTACTAATTCATGGAGTCTTCACAACCACCTTTGGAGTGGCACTCTTATTATCCCCATTTTACAGACGGGGAAACGAAGGCTCAGAGGGGTTTTGCTGGCCGGGCAAAAGAGCAGTTTTAATTACTGTAGTTATGATCTTTGCAGGCATGGTTTGCAGAAAAAGCACAGAATCTGCCACATCCAAGGATTAAATATTAATTACTTAGGTGTTTAACAGATTTAAACTAAACTTTAGCTCAAGATCTTAGTATATAATGGATAAGTTCTGGTCTTTAGAGATGCAACATCTAACATTAAATTTCAAACTAAGATAATATAGATCTATTTCCCTTAGAGTCTACTGCCAATGTGTTATTCAAACATGACTTTCTTAAAGGTTAATTTTATGCTATCTTATGAATATCTGAAATTATATACATTTTTGGTGGCATTTACTTTCAAATATATTTTTATGGGACTATGGATCTCTCCCAGGACTGTGAAATTTCTGCTACAGAAATTCCTCTCTCTACCCAGGATGACTAATAAATTGAGTTGACTTTGGAAAATGGCAAAATGCAATTAATTTCAGATTTTTTTGTGTGGAAACATAAGGTTTAATAAAAAGCTTTATTCTTTTAAAATGTTTTCTCTGGTGTTAAAACAATATAGGATACATCATCATCAAGCAATGCTGTTTATTCCCCCCAAAATAAGTCTTGATGCATCTTTAATCTCCAAAGGATTTAATTTGGGCTATTAATTTTCTGATCATAAACTATGTGAGCCTTTTCTCACTGGAGGAACAATTTGTTTTGCTTATAGACAAAGTATAACATGTGTTGGTAGGACTTCAAGTTTAGACTATCATGAAATACAGAACAAGTCCTTCTAGTTCTTAGATTTGATTGGTGACAGCTGCAGTAGTTAAAGGACTGGGTATGGTGAATAAGTAGGAAGATACAATGGGGTAGGCAGGCAGGAGGCACAGAGTATGATAGGCCTGAGGAAGGCTGACCTGAGTTGGGAAGCCCAGTCCTAAAGGCTGATGGAGGGCAGGGGGAAGGGGAGCCTTCCAATATAAGAGAGGCGGGAGCTGAGGAGAGAAGACGGTGAGCTCAGTGTTTAAGATGCTACATTTGAAGAACCTCTGGGACTTCCAGGCAGGGAAGAGTAATCAGTGGACAGATGAGAACAGAGATGTAAAGCTCACAAGAGGCCTGGGGAGAAATGTAGGTCTGGATTTGGAAGTCCTTCTAAATGAGGATGGTGGGGTGGGCAATGAGATCACCCTAGAAAACCCTGGATGAATATTTGGCATGAATAGGTAAGAGTGGTTGGCAGAAGAGGAGGAGGTGACTATCAAGAGCCTGGGATGGAATAGTTGGAGAAGCAGGGAAAAACAAACTGAAGAAGCAGAGGGGCGAGCAGTTCAGGATGATGATGGGCCATGAGTAAATGCTGCTTCAGGGTCAGGAAGAATTAGGTCCCCCCCCCCCGACCTCCCCCCCCAAAATAAGGCAATTGCATTTGGCAACTTGTGGGGAGGGATCCACTAGATCCGTGGTCAGCAAACTGCGGCTCGCGAGCCACATGCGGTTCTTGGGCCCCTTGAGTGTGGCTCTTCCTAAGCCTTAGGAGTACCCTAATTAAGTTTTAACAATGTACCTACCTATATAGTTTAAGTTTAAAAAATTTGGCTCTCAAAAGGAATTTCAGTCGTTGTACTGTTGATGTTTGGCTCTGTTGACTAATGAGTTTGCCGACCACTGGCCTAGGTTATAATAAATGGTGAGTGAGTAGGAGCTGAGAAAACAGAGGGGAATAAATGGTGGTGAGTGGAAGAGAAATAAGAGTTTATTGAAGGGTGTGTAGTATATGGAGAGTTTTTTAAAACAGAAATCTTCGTTGAGTAAGAGAAAGGGGTAGAGTGGATAGAGCGGGTGACTACAAAAAATAAAAGACCTATAAACATTTATGCTCCAGTGGTCAGAATTATATATCAAAGACAGTAAAATATACAGAATTCTTGTCACACAGATGAGGAACTGCCAGACAATAATGTAATACCAGGCAGTTCCTGCTGTGATAGCCCAAATTAAACTTGGAACAAAAACTTTTACATAAGAGGTGTATAAAGTAGGATTGTACTATGTTACCTGTTTTAACGGCAGAGGACTAGAGCAGACAGTTTTTTGAGGTCACGTCTAATCCTAAAATTACATGGTTCTGTGTACTTTGATCCTTTTTACTGAATTCACAATTACTTTACCAATCCAGTTCTTGGTTAAATGCTAAACTATCCCAGTTTTGTTCTTACTACCTGTCTTTCCTATAATGTTCTTAATGTTATTTCCCACCTAAACCAACTCCTGTAAAAAGTTACATACCAACCACTTCAATCATGTCCTCTCTTTACACCCACTGGATATGGCCACTGCAGCAAATAAAGTGTCCCAATTAGTGGCTTCCAATTTCTGTACCAGCTCATTCCATTCCTTCTTTTGCACATCTCTCAGCATTAGCCCACTGTGGCCTGCTTCTCCACAGACAGCCTATTGCATTGTTCTCAATGAGAACTTTTTTGAAGAGAATATCTATCTTGAATAAAATTCAAGGAAGAAAAAGGGGTCTTCAGGTACTTCCCTTTGGACTTGGGAGAGAGGTTTCTTTGGGGTTTGTTTGTTTTTACTTTTGAGTTGTCCTAAAGTATGATGCTCTGAAATTGGCCAGATCCAATGTTGTTGGAATTGTTCCAGTCACGGGTCACCCTGAAGGAAGGGAAACCTGGGAAGCTGGGGACGTCTATTGCTGAGTTAGTGTTTCAGATACTTTCATGTTGGTCAAATATATTTGCATTGTAATGAGATATTAATGCTGAGAAGAGATATTGTGTTAGTTCTCTAACATCTGCATCTACCAGCGGTCTAGATAACATAGCTCTGCTACTGTAAATAGAATGCTTACCACATAGATCAGGAACTGCCAGCCAACAAAGTAATACTGTACTGTTCTTGCAGAGATAGCCTGGGATATGTTCGGAGCAAAGTTCACCAACAAATATGATCCTGCAAATGCCAATGTCATACCTTTAAGTAAAACAGAAAAGACAAGTTGAAAAGAGACATTTTAATCTTTTTGTTGATGTAAACATTACCTATAGACTGAGCATTACTTGTAAAAGTGCTGACAGTTCCGCCCTATTAAAATATAATTCATTAACCATCCCCTAGATAGCGTCACACATTCACCTGATAGCAGCATTACCTTTAAAGAGGGATAAGGGCCCTGGCCGGTGTTGCTAACTGGTTAGAGCATTGGCCCGTGCATCCAAGCGTCACGGGCAGGTTCATTCCTGGTCAAGGGCACATACTTGGGTTGCAGGTTCGTTCCCTCACCCCAGTAAGGGTGTGTGCAGGAGGCAACCGATTGATATGTTTCTCTCACATCAATGTCTCTCTCTCTCTTCTCTCTCCCTCCACGCTCTCTAAAATTTAATGGAAAAAATACCCTCAAGTGAGGATTAAAAAAAAAAAAAAAAAGAGGGCTAAGGGCCCGGGAATGGATGGGGCAGGACATAACTTCTGACTTTTCTCTGTTGTTCCAGATAGATCCTGGCCTAAGCAGAGAAGTGTTCTGCTAAGATGCGAAGATCAGAACATGTGAATATGGAGACAAGAAAACCCAACCAAGCTAGCTGTTTGGGTTCTTATGGGCCAGTCAGTGCAAGATGGACCTGGATTTAGGTCTAGATGGCAGAGCCCAAGAGGGTGGGGAGTCCATCACCTGACCATTTATTCTGCACTTACTCATCTTGGGAGCCTTACACACACACACACACACGTAATTTTACACTTAGAAACTCTGGTAAATGAGCATCTTAATCATTGCCACTTTTTTGGCGCCCCTTTAGCAGAAATGAAGGTGAACATTGGCTTTGCTCTACGATATTTATAGCCCAATTTAGTATCTAGAATTCCAGGCATAGCCGAGTAAAATATCACATAATAAACCTATGGAAGGAATGTGTTACTGTCATCACTTTAACATTACTTAAAATAATGGAGGAAGGGCATGTGGGGGGGAGTGGGCATGGATGGAGGGGTAAAGGAAGGGCACTTCCAAATAACACTGAAAGCTACTTATCTGTTAATTAGCAGCCCGAGAAAAAGTGACATAGGTAGCATTTTTCAGGTAGCACCCTTGAAAACATAATTCAACTTGTTCCATCACTGAGGTGGTTTTGTTCTGTACATAATTGACAACAAGAATTGACTCCAACCTGAAACAATTTGATTTGTTGATAAAATCTCACACTTTGAAGACACCAATTTCCTATTCTTCTTAGCCAAATGATTTATGACTTTGAACTCTAGTTTCTGAGAACAAAGAGCATTTGATTTTTCACACAGGCTAAATAATAGCTATTCAGGGTAATTTAGAAGCTATAAAATAAGTTTCATCGAAGTAACAATGCATTCTGTAATGCTTTGTGAAGACAGAGATCATATACACAATTTTAAAAGCTATTTCTAATGAGATTTTAAAAATAAAAAAATATACATTATTAAGCATTGTCATAAAAGGAAAATAATAAACACCATCTATAAGAACTTGGGCAAAATTATTGGTCAGCCTTGTCCTTTCTTTAGGAATAAAAAATTCTCTTATAATTGTTCAATATTAGGTTTCTAGGGAGAAGGGACTAATAAAAACAGTTTTGTAAACTTGGTGTAGTAAAGTAGAATAAAAGCCTTGAATGCAATTTAGAAGTCTCAGAGACTTCCAACTTTCTTTTGTGAAATCCAAATTTCTTGTTTATATCGAGTTCCTCTGCCAGTTATTTCTTTATCGCATTTACCTGTATCTAGTGTCCTTTACATTTCTTTCTAAAAATTTACTTTTGAATGGGTAACGTGTGTTAGAAAATTCAAAAGCACACAAGGGTGATGCGTGAAGAGTTAAATCTCTCTTCTACCCTGATGGCTTCCTAGTTCCAAGTTCCTGAGGTTTCCTTTTCTGAGATACTTTATGCACGTGTATATGCTGGTGTGTATGACTTTTGGATTTTTTAAAAAATATGTTTTATTGATTTTTTTACAGAGAGGAAGGGAGAGGGATAGAGAGTTAGAAACGTCGATGAGAGAGAAACACCGACCAGCTGCCTCCTGCACACCCCCTACTGGGCATGTTCCCACAACTAAGGTACATGCCCTTGACCGGAATCGAACCTGGGACCCTTGAGTCCTCAGGCCGACGCTCTATCCACTGAGCTAAACCGGTTAGGGCGACTTTGGGGTTTTTTTACACAGACAATATTATACACGCTCTTCTGTGTTTTATTTCTAATCAACAGACCATCTTGGAGAACGTTTCAGTATAGGTATGGCAGCCTCATCCTCTGCAAGTCTGCAGAGTTATACAGAGGTTGTGCTACTTATTTAACTTTCCAATACGGTCCCCATGTCACATCCTGACACAGCCCCTCTCCCCCACATCACATCTGCTTCCACATTTGTACACTGTTCCCATTTATACCAATGTAGATCTTCACTGCATTTCAAAACTCCTTAAAAACAAATAAAATGACTAATGATTCCACAATTATACTTTCAAAGTACTTTTTCATATGCATAATTTCATCTGAGCATCACCTCACTGTGAGTCTGGTAAGTAACTTTATGACAGCTCAGTAGGTCATACCATCCTTTTTTTTTTTTTATTGTCTAAAGTTTTACATAGTCTCCTTTTCCCCCAGTTGACTCCCTCCCTCCCCCCCCCCACAGCTCATACCATTCTTAATAATTTTAATCTCAGCTACCCCAGGCACTTACACAGGCAGTCAGGATAGCTGCTACCTGTTATATGCTTGTGTATCTGGTGTTATTCTTTTTCTATGTGATTAACTATCTCCTTCATAAATCATGTGCACATTTTTCAAAAGTGTTGAAGATCGTCATTAGCAGTTCCTTAAGTGGATTTCCTTAAATTTTATTTATATTCCACTTTTTTCTAAAAGTGGCATGAGATGCCAGTTCCTGTGATTTTTATTTCAGTAAAGCCGTGAATATTCCCTTTCGAAAGACACAGATTTCTGACTTAGAAAACTTGCTATTGACCTCCTGCTGGTCCATTTGCCCAAAGGAGTGTCTGGAAGAATGAGCCACCGAAGGGAGGGAAACAGCACTTAACACGCTCTGTGCCCACAGAAACGCTTACATTTCAGGTTAGGAACCGGATCGTGGAAGTCTACTCTCAGCTGCAACTGCTCCCACAGAACGGAAAGGTCACTGCTACTTGCTAGCTGGAAGTTATTTATCCCTCTGTGCCTTGGTCTTCTCATCTCCAGGTACACATCAAATGTCACACCTGCTTGATTCCAGGAATCTGGCTCTGCAAGAGGCCAGCGTGGGGAACTGAATATGATGTTTGAAAAGCTCACCTGCAGGCCTGATGTGACCGAGGATCCTGGGACAGTGACTCAGGATGCTGACTGCCAGGAGTCACAGGCCACCTGAGTTAAGCTTAAACATTAATTCAAAATTATGTCTCTATTGTTATAGTCCAGGGATCCAAAGGAAATGACATAACAGATCACAGAGGAGAAACACTAGCAGCCCTATATTTGCTGCCCACTGCTATCCTTAGGCAGCCAATGTGTGCAGCACCAAGACCTGGGTATTGGTGGGAATGGAACTCAGAGCAGCTGTGGGCAAGCTGCAGGTGGGAGTCAACGACTGGACATGACCTGGATACAGGGACGTGGCCCCACCCGCCACCCTCATGCTTAGACCTGCAGCAAATCCATTTCCCCATCAAATACAGCTCAAGTCACGTAAGAGTCTACAATGACCTGGTGGGAATTTCAGATTTAACGATATAACATACAAGTATTAATAAAATCACTTTCTATAAACTGGCCATATGTGCAAAACAAGTAAACAAGCTCACCCCTGCTGTTTGTAGATCAGGTGTACTGGGGGGAGGGGGGCAGCATATGCCAAAGGAGGGTAATCTTTTTCCTTTTTTAATCCTTATCCAAGGATATTTTTCCATTGATCTTTTAGAGAGAGTGGCAGAGAGAGGGAAAGATAGGAGGAAACATTGATGTGAGAGAAACACATTGATTGGTTGCCTCCTGCATATGTCCTGACCAGGGTCAGGGCCGGAGAGGAGCCTGTAACCAAGGTATGTGCCCTTGACTGGAATTGAACCCAGGATTCTTTGGTTCATAGGCCGATGCTCTATCCACTGAGCCAAACCAGCTAGGGTGGGAATAATTTTTTTAAAGTGATGTTCTTAGCACTATTGATTTCATAGACAAGTGTGGTTGACATGAGAGTCACATTGTGATCACCATCATAGTGAAGTGTGATCATCGTAACTATAATGGTAATAGCTAATACTTACTAATATAAGCACAATTCTAAATGTTTTATATACAACTTAATCCTTATAATAAACCTGTGAAAAAATAATTATACTATTGTTATTATACTATTATAAAATATACTATATGTATATATTATATGTACATACATAATATCTATATATATAAAAGGTTAAGTAACTGACTGTCCATCCGCTCGACCGGCCCATACATATGACGCGCACTGGCAATCTATCTATATATATAAAAGGCCAAGTGACTGACCATCTGTCCATCCATCTGACTGACTGGCTGGTACATATGACACACACTGGCAATTTAAAAATAAACGTTGACTCACGCACACATGATACATATACAGCTCTCGCTGGCGCCAATTGTACATGTATTTTAATTTTATACAGTATTATATATACTACTTTGACATATAATTTTTTGCAGTAATGTAATTACTGCATGAATCTTCTAATTAATATCCTTTCAATGTGCACGAATCTGTGGACTGGGCCACTAGTAATATATAATATTGCATAAAACTATTACTGTCCCTATTGGGCATATGAGGAAATTGAGTCAAAGAGGAAATGACGATCTTATCTGGAATTTTCTAACTAAGTGGAGAGTGTGGATTGAAACCCAGGTAGTTACTTTCTTAATGATCACACTCTCCTGCCTCTTGTATGCCAGGGCCGATGAATG